ACCGCTTCTCCCCGCTGGTCCACTTTCCCCATGCTGACCACCTCCAGCAATACAAGGTAAGAGAGGCCGGAGGGGGGGGGGCGGGGTCTGTTCCCCACAAACCGCTTTCCTTTTTCTCTTCCGTGGCCACAGAGCGGCCACGCCAGCCTTGCGAGGTGGTACTTTTGCAAACCGGACAGCCCTCCGATCTCCACCATTGCTTGCTTTGCGGCCCATTTGAGCCGTAACAGGGTTGATTGGTCGGTGGCCGGATCCCAGGTGAACCCAGTCCGGTGACCCATTCCCGGACATCGGTCTATACAGGCAATTTCCGTTCCTAAGCAAGGCGTAGACTTACCCAGAGTTATAATAATAATAATAATAATAATAATAATAACAACAACAGCAGCAGCAGCAGCAGCAGCAACAGCAACAACAACAATAATAAAAAAAAGTTGGAAGGGACCTTGGAGGTCATCTAGTCCAACCCCCGCTCAGGCAGGAAACCCTATACCATTTCAGACAAACGGCTTATATTTACAAAGTAATCCCTAACCATCAGCTTCTGTATTCCAAAATCACATAATAGATTTTCTCTTCTCCCAGTAAATATTCTCTTTGCCAACCTTGGATTAATACAATCCTTATTAGTTTGATAGGTAACAAAAATAAAGATTTAATTTTTCTAAAATTTCTACCCATAATAATCACATCAATATCACGCTTCTTTTCTTGGATCCTGTTTGCAGTTCTTATTCAAATTTATTTTCCCTACAATGTTCAAAAACGTTCTCACGGGTTCAAATTTTCCCAAAGTTAATTACCTTAAGGTATTTAAATCTGTTTTTCAGGTTCTTAAAAAAAATAAGTAAAAAAAAAAAGACACAAAAGAAAAACGAAGAAAGAGAAAAGAGAGAGAAAGAAAAAAGAAAAAAAAAGGGGAGAGAAAAATATGTCGCATTCTTCAGTGCTGCCCCTAAACTCGGATAGTGGCGAAATGGTTGTAAAGCCGAGGACTACTTAATAAACTTATAAAACAGGACTGGAAAGGAGATAGAATTGTAGGGTGTGGATGATGGGATCTGGATCTGGAGTTCCCTGCTTGGCTCATCCTGATTGGCAGCTTGTGAGCGTAGTTTTTCTTTGCCTTCCCTGTTCCAATGTTGATTTTTTTTCTCTCTCTCTCTCTCTCCCATCTTCTCCTTCTGCGTAGGACAATCTCAGAAGCTGGATCGAGGGCAATCTGACCCAGTGTGGCCGTTCCCTTTTCCTCTTCGACGAGATGGACGATCTGCATCCAGGCTTGATCGAGGTCATTGCGCCCTTCCTGGGACCTTCCTGGGTGGTGTTTGGGACCAACTATCGAAAAGCCATCTTCGTCTTTATTAGGTAACGAGGGTTGGGGGGGTTAAGACACAAGGCTGGGTGTCAAGAGTGAAAACGTGGCAGCTACTTAGAGAAAGTTCTGCAGGTGTTTGAGACAATAGAATAGAATAGAATAGAATAGATTGTAGAATAGAATAGAACAGAATAAGAAAGAATAGAATAGAATAGAATAAGAAATAAATAGAATAGATTATAGAATAGAATAGAACAGAACAGAATAAGAAATAATAGAATAGAATAGAATAGAATAGAATAGAATAGAATAAGAAATAATAGAATAAGAAATAATAGAATAGAATAAGAAATAATAGAATAAATTGTAGAATAGAATAGAATAGAACAGAACAGAATAGATTGTAGAATAGAATAGAACAGAATAAGAAAGAATAAAGTAGAATAGAATAGAATAGAATAAGGAATAAGAATAGAATAGATTGTAGAATAGAATAGAACAGAATAAGAAAGAATAGAATAGAATAGAATAA